CTGCAAACTGTTTCTAATTATTTAAAGCAATAGATCGCTAAGATTCATAATAGAGTTTTATGAAAACGGCTGAACTTATTTTAATGTGATATAAAATTACTATTTCATTTATTATATTTTAATATATTTCTGTAAATTCTATAGAAACTTTTAAACACAATGTTGATATCAAAACTCCGCAATAATTAAATGAATTAGATAGGTAATAAAAATAAAGTAAGGACGAAAAGTTCAATCTTTCTCGGCTTAAAAATATATGCATATAACAAATAGCCAGGTAGGGACTTACTTTTCCGACACCGGCAATCACTAATATCGATTCACTTTACTTTTCTTTTCGAAAGTCTGGAAACAAATTCAGTCACTGGCCAAAACTAATATCGATTCACTTTTCTTTATGAAATTCCAGAAACAAATGAGTAACGATGTTCTTGACATTCGTATTTATATTGGTGGAGAATCAAACACGTTCATGCAAGATTGCAAGCACATACACCAAAAGTCGTATTAATTTGCACGTCTGAACAGGCGTTGCGGACGGGACGGCGGCCGGCGCGGCAACGACAAGTCTCGACGCGTGGTACTGAACATGGAATATGCAAGTTTTTACAAGTAACAGTCGCTGAGCTTCTTAAAATAATATCTGCCTATATTGACAAGAGAAGTCGTCAACATTTTAGTAACTAAAATGTTAATCGTTTATATTATAAACAGTTGAAGTTTTTTACAAGAATTTCTTCATAATATAGAAAAATGAGGAATCAATTGTTAAATAGTATATTGCTTCATGCACCCCTGCTTACGATTGTGGACCCCCATTTTCTATTACGCCCAACGTAAACCCCCGTCGAGTCTCCCGTAGACCCCTGGGGGTCCACCTGGACCACTTTGGGAAATACTGTCCTAGACCATCAACGATAATCCTAGACAGAAATTTGATATGCTAGTTCTGGCCAGACGGCGTTCAGGTTCGTTCTCAAATTTACATATACCTCTAATACAGCATCGGCGTATTTTAATCGTAAAATCCTCTGCCTAGTTACTTATCATCCAAATAAATTCGTTACACCGTGAAAGCCAGCGGCAAACTGAAAATTTTCGATTTTGTCAAAAATAAACGTACTTTACTCTTGAGCAAAATTAATATTTTTTGACAAACCTTGTATACAGCTTGAAAAATTTGATATATGATGACTGTATTTTAAGTTTTGGGTCATGCAGGAATTTTTATCAAGAATAACTTTTTTCCTAAAATCAATAATACATTTTTTTCCATATGGTTCCAACTTAAGTAGACACACTCTATAACAGTATTTATCTAGTTTTTCAAAAACTCGTACTCCCATTATTTTTTTAGTTTAAAAAATTAACGGTCGTCAATTTTTGTCATTAATATTACCTACCTTTTAAAATTATTTAAAAAAGTTTGTTTTATTAATTGTGGTCGTAGAATAATTATATTGTAGTACTCGTATAGAAAACCTATTCCACACTGGAGTAAATGTAGCACTCGCATTTGCTCGCGCTACAAGTTTCACACATCGTGTGGAACAGGTTACTTTTTTATCCTTGTTATGCAATATACTATACAGGGTGTAACTAAATAAGTGTAAAACATTTAAGGGGGTAATTCCTCATCGAAAAAAAGATAGGATCTTTCATATAAAGAAACTTCATTGGAGCATCCCTTGTTAAGATACAGCCCCTTAAAGGGGGTACATAAAATTTGTTTAACAATTTTTTTCACAAGTACTAAACAAGTTACAATATTAAAATTATTTTCTACTACCAAAAAAACACTTAGCCAGTCATTTATTTGGTTTACCCCTGGTTGTAAGGGGTGGAAAACGCAACCCCTAAAATTTCGTTCCAACGTAACTTTTTGTCTTATTATTTGTTTACCATTTAAAATTTTATTTCCGATAGCCTGTTTCATTCTAAACAAAAAATGTCTCTTGAATTTTTTGCCCAAAATAAACCAGTTCGCAGTAAAAAATTATTTTACGAACAATTACAGAGATACATCGTCATAAATGCGAACTGGATTTATTGTTATTTTGTAGTTATTATCTGCATTAAATGATTAAAAAGGGGAATAATCAAAGTAATTTATTAATAACAAAACATACAACATGTAGAAATCATAGTAAATGTTCAATATGTCTACCTTCAGACATTACGCATGCGTCTAGACGTTTAGCTGGAAAGCAATCTTTCTAGTACTGGTAGTAGGTTGTTCTTCAATAAAGTAGTGCTTTCTCAAGCTGTGGTGTTCTTACTTCTCGATGGCGACCACAATCGTGCGTTCTTTTGTTGAATGAACCATATTCTCGTAATCGTTGATGAAGTCGGGCAAATATTCTATGTGAAGGATGCTGCCGTTGAGGATACATTTCAGCATATCTTCTAGAAGCTTCTAACCCATTCCCATGCGACGGACCGTAAACGTAATGCATATCAGCCATTTCCTCATTTGTGTATGCCATTTTAATAACAAGTGAATTATTAAAGTAACAAATTACGAACAAAACAACAATATACAATTAGTATTACTCCAATTTCAAAAATTTAAAAACTGACAGCTTGATTTCAATGTAATTGTCAGTATCGCTAATAGCGGCCTACTAGATAAATTAGTTTCGTATTTTCGTTTTATGGCGATATCTATCTTGTTCGTAAAATAATGTTTTGCTGCGAACTGGTTTATTTTGGGCAAAAAATTCAAGAGACATTTTTTGTTTAGAATGAAACAGGCTATCGGAAATAAAATTTTAAATGGTAAACAAATAATAATACAAAATGTTACGTTGGAACGACATTTTAGGGGTTGCGTTTTCCACCCCTTACAACCATGGGGTAAACCAAATAAATTACTGGCTAAGTGTCTTTTTGATAGTAGAAAATGACAGGTTAATTTCAATATTGTAACTTGTTTAGTGCTTGTGAAAAAAATTGTTAAACAAATTTTATGTACCCCCTTTAAGGGGCTGTATCTTAACAAGGGATGCTCCAATGAAGTTTCTTTATAAGAAAGATCCTATCTTTTTTTCGATGAGGAATCACCTCCTTAAATGTTTTACACTTATTTAGTTACACCCTTTATTATTTATTAGTGGAACAAATAATATTTTAACAGTTTAACAAAATAATGAAGTGGCTCCTTCTTCGTTTTGAGTTTTGTTTTGTTTGTAAGATTAACATGGTTCACATAAAAGTATATTTTGGGTCATGTTTACAAACATCAACCAGATCTCTTTGAAAATTGTCTTTATCGACCTGTTGCAAACAAGTATTTACGGGGAATACCCAATAGGTAGCAGTTTGTTTTGGAAAGTGTTTTTTACGATGAAGTTACATCAGTTAAATTCCTCGGGAAATACCTTTTGCATAAATTGTTTTATATAATGAATTTTGAGCATATAAAAATATTTTTTTTACTACTAACATGAGAAATCACCATTATTTACTCCATTCCTCTAATGAGAAGTAATATTTCTCTCCCTAGGTAAATAATGATAATAAAAAAAAACCTAGGTAAATAATGAAACTAAATTTCATTAGTTTCATTTTGTTAATTTGACAACTAAACTCCCAGACTACTTGATATTTTGAAATATTTGAAAAATAAGTAGGAAATAACTAAAGCTGGGTTTATCAAATCAAATATGATAATATATATCAGTGTAAACAGTAAAAATATATATTAACTAGGAAATTCAACACAGGCTTTAAAAATTATTAATTGATAACAATAAATCCATGTCATTAAAATATCAAAAATGCAATGGGATATTTCCTAGAATCATACCAAAATTTGACACATGCCAAATTTTTACATAAATAAAGCCAGTCTGATTAGAAACACGCTCCAGTCTGCTTGATATTTCGAAATATTTAACAAATTGTTAGGAAATTACTTATGTCAAAATTAAAATTGCTAATACATTAATGTTAGTAGTAAAAAAAATTCTATATATACCTCGGCTGAGAAAGCTATTATTTACCTCGCACATTATATCCCTCGGCGCTACGCGCCTCAGGATATAAAAGTGCTCGATAAATAATAGCTCACTTCTCACCCTAGGTATATAATATACTATTATCCACGACCACTTAATAATAAATCAATATTCTACCTCCTAACTAAAAGCATATGGTACCCATAGAGTGAATTATGATAATTCACGCTTTTGTAATTCTGGCAATTTCCGGTAAAGATATTTTCTAGATCGAAAAATCAGAAATTCGAAAAATCAAAAAATCGAAGTCAGAAATTCGAAAAATTGTAAAATCGGAAAATTGAAAAGTCAAAAAATCGAAAAATCGAAAAATTTAAAAATCCAAAAATCGAAAAATCGAAAAATCGAAAAATCGAAAAATCGAAAAATCGAAAAATCGAAAAATCGAAAAATCGAAAAATCGAAAAATCGAAAAATCGAAAAATCGAAAAATCGAAAAATCGAAAAATCGAAAAATCGAAAAATCGAAAAATCGAAAAATCGAAAAATCGAAAAATCGAAAAATCGAAAAATCGAAAAATCGAAAAATCGAAAAATCGAAAAATCGAAAAATCGAAAAATCGAAAAATCGAAAAATCGAAAAATCGAAAAATCGAAAAATCGAAAAATCGAAAAATCGAAAAATCGAAAAATCGAAAAATCGAAAAATCGAAAAAACGAAAAATCGAAAAATCGAAAATCGAAAATCGAAAATCGAAAATCGAAAATCGAAAATCGAAAATCGAAAAATCGAAAAATCAGAAATTCGAAAAATTGGTAAATCGGAAAATTGAAAAGTTGAAAAAACAACAGTTAGTTACCTACGTTTAATAAAAACTTTCTATTCTACACTTAACTTTTATTTATTAAAAAAATCGTAATGGTCGTGGACAAAGTATAGTAGACTCGCAATGTATGGCCATTATTCACTCGGGTGACTAATGGCTACCATAAATTGCTCGTTTAATAATATACTATAATATATATATTTTATTGTTTCAGGAAGCTCCTTCAATCGATGCTAGCGAAACATTAGATGACTTATCTGAGCCCCACGCTGGTATAAAATTAGGATGGATACAGGGTGTTTTAATACCATGTCTTCTCAATATTTGGGGAGTCATGCTGTTTCTTCGGTTATCTTGGGTAGTTGCAGAAGCTGGCATTGGTAAGTAGACGATTTTATGGATCTTAATAAAGAGTGCAATAAAATAGGAATAAAAATTATACTTGGTTGTTTAATACCCATCTTATTACCCGTAATTCATTATAAAAGTATTAAATGACTTTATTTGATGTAATATAAATTAATTCAAGTAATTTATTCACCTGCACAATACTTTTTATCATTTTGTTTACAATTTTATGGGGTTTAGTGCGAATTTTGAATCTTATAAGGTGATTGCTTTTAAAAATCAATTTTAAACCTTTGTTGTTAAAAAAGAAGTACATTATTACCTCCAAATAAACAAATCGATTTTTAAATATGAAATGAGCAAATTATACATGCTCAAATTGAGACTTTACCGATTCAATTTGGCATTGTTTCGTAATATGGAAAAAATTTCGACGGTATTAAAGTCCTGATTTATATCTGTATTTATTCATATAAAGTGAATTAGTAAGCATATAGATTGCTCACTTGAGGACATGGATAGTTGGGATTGTCGGTAAAAACCATCTTCTAAAGGGTCAGAATTTGCATAGGTAAATTTTCTCCCAATAATAAGTAAGTTGTCTCGGATGATTAACAGGTATATAATCTTTTAATCCCTGTCAACTAATTACCGGTAATGTCAATTTCTGGTCCGATTGCAATATTTTTCATCAGTATTAATATTTTTTCTGCTTATACAAGTTAAATATTAAAATGAGTTTGCAAGTGGTCTCAAGAGAAAAGTGCTTTTGGTAATAAACGCTCAAAGTTTTCTTTTCTAAAATCATTGGCTCGAGGCGTTAAACGATAGTCATGTACAACTAGAAAAACATTGTGTAAAGCTTACATTAAAACAGATGGCAAAGATAATGTTATCGTGAATTCGATATTGGAACATAACCATAATAAGTGTCGTCGGGTCTCGCTCGGGTGAAGGTCGTTTTGCCCTGACCCCGCTCTTTCGCTAAGAAGGGGTCGTGAGGGAGATATGGCCGTACTGGTGGATAATTCGGAGAGCGTAGCGAACTCCTCGAAATCACCAACACTGTGAAGCACTTCACCAGGGAAACTTCCCCCTGACCTACATTTGCCGTGTGTAGGCCGACGCTCGATGGGGGTATATGATGATTGGAGTCCCAATTCAAACGAATTGGGTACTCTCAGGGTAGGTTCGGGCCCAGACGGCGGGGATTTGGCAAACCGTCGGGTAGTGTCGTTAATTGGAAATTTATAAAAATCATCTAAATTTATAGCCGAGTTCGGCTGTCTCCACAAGGTGGCATTTTGCTCTGGGGCGGGAGTAACCGGGGAAAAGCCATAGAACTCTCCCCGTGTACCTGAAGGAAATGCCCTTCTGAGGTCAGCGGTGAAATTATCTGGATTATTGTGATGCATTTTTGTAATAAGTTAAAATGAATTGAAATGATTTTAAAGTATATTAAGTTAGTAAACTAAGTGACGTTAAAGGTTCTAAACCAATGAATATTAAAAAAAAATAAAGAAATAAAAAAAAAATAATAATAATAATAATAAAAGCCTCCCTCAGTCAAGCGAATTCGATAGGGGAAGGTGAATGTCGATTAGCAAGTAACCGACAATCACTAGGATAAGATATAAATAATTAAATAAAAAGAAATGAGCCACGTTACTATAACGAGGCGTCACCAAATGACTATAAAATAAAATAAACAAACAAGGTCATGTGCCAGAGAAAGTTAAAAGCACGAAATGTAAACAAACAAAGCCGGAGGTCTTTACCAACCAACAATATTATTGACAAATAACACTATAAAGAATATATGGCTGCGACCCTTGACACCTGTCAGTCCGACCTGTGAAAAGAAGAAAATCCGTTACAGGTTCCGCGCCTAAAAATGCCGGCAAGCGGGAGGAAAATGAAGGGAAATTAAATGGAAAACGATGTACCCCTCGTCACCCACGTAATCAGGACAGACTCACCTAGTGTAATTATCCCACGGAAGAGCGCTAAGCAGGAGGATCGCAAGGGAGTAGACGGGAATGCGCTAACACCGGCTTATTTTCCAACCACTTCGCTAGAATCCTCTCTTTCCTTAGTAAACCCTTATGCAGATCGACTCAGATAGTCGTGGGGTAATGATTTTAAAACTTGAAGTATTCCTTTTGCTAATGATGCACTGGACTGGCACAGAATTTGAATTTGCACTATATTCGCGGCGAGAGAACTATACACGAAAAAGTTAAAGGTCTACTGCCTAATTTTGCGGGAAACGCTTATATTTATGTCTCTAATTCCGGCTCCGCCCATAGGTAAAACAATTACCTAATTGGCTAAAGCTCTTTGGAATCGTTTGAAATTTGCAACGGCTGTATATTTGAAATTTAAACTACGTCTTTTTAGGATGAATAATAATAATGAAATTTGATTAGAAGATAAAGTACTTTTTAGAAAGCTAGAAGGGTTGTGTGTGGGTGTGAAATATTAATAAGACATAGTTTGGACACGCGAATTAATTTGGATTTTTGTGTTGTTTGAAATATTTCTGCTTATGTAGGTATTTCATTCGGGTATAAATGAATTACGGAAATATGAATGTTCGAAGTTGTTCCCGTGAGAAAGAGTAACTAGTCTCCGAACTTTAGGAAGATTTAGGATTACTTCGTGATTGACTATTTAGTGACAATTTAATATTAAAAATTAAAATAACTTTACTGGCTTTCGAGTACGAATGCCAGATGTAAAACCACAAGTACTTGTGTCGACGTAAGAGTGATTCTATATGTGTGATTGCAAAAATGAGTGTTTGCAGATTCAGGGTACTTGTATGGTGTCCATACACATAGGGTATCGTTGCGAAGCTGCAACTCGGGTAAGAATTGGATCGACGCTACGGGACCCTATAACATAAGTTACCTAGTTACGTATTGAAAAGACAACAGCTTATCAATAATCTGAAAAGGAAAGCACAAGTGATATAAATCTAGTTAAAAAACATATCTACAATGCTCGTCGCTTACTGATGCCACCATTACCGAAATACATTGAAAAAGTTGATACACATTTAAAAGAACGTCACATAGAAACAAAACTGAAGATTTTGTAATAAAAAATGACAAATACACCAATATCGTTATGTTTACATGTAAAAGTAATATCTAATTTTTGACTACAAGTGCTGAATTTTATTTGGATGGAACTTTTGAATATTGTCCTAATTTTTTTGCAATTATTTACTACTAGCTTTTACCCGCGGCTTCGCTCGCATTTAGGCCGTTAAATAAGTATAAGAGATCATTACAATAGAAATGAATCAAGATGAAGAGGCGTTTCAGCTGCTCTCAAAACACTTTATCGCTGTGCTTGCTGTTGTCTTCTCAGCTCTGCGTCAACCGAAGATTCGTGATTTCGTGCAACTTTTGCTGCACGGGCCCGGGACGATTTCCGCTTCCGAAGCATTTTTGAAGAAGAACAGAGTAAGAATTAAAATCAGTGAGTGAGATCTAAAATAATGAAGTGATAGGTAACCTCAAAAATTCAATAGCAGAGATAAGGGAGATAAAGATAGAAAACGTCCATAAAAAGCCAATGTTTAACAACGACCAGCTTTATCGCAGTTAACATCTGACCCACTATGTGGCGCTTTCATCGATATCGCAGCGGGAAATTTAAAAACCTGATAATAAAGGTTGCATATATATCGACTGCACTCTCATGTTCTTGTAAATAAACTTAAACAATGTAATTGCGCTTAATTATTTTTTAAAATAATACTACACTTACAGTATCTATCTTATTTAAAAATGTTGAGTGCAAATTCAATAATGGGAATTCAAATATTTTTCTTCCTATATCAAATCTTATTTTTAACGTTTTAAAGCCATTTTCTTGCTCTAAAACAATAAATAATACATAAACACCTACTTTGTGACAAAAGTTGATTAATATTTGTGTTACATGAACAGATCTTACCTACTTTGGTTAATTAAAAAACGCCACATTGGGGTTGTTAAATTTGTTCATGTGGCATGTGTTACTAATGCAATTAGACATTCCAAACTGAGTGACTACCAGTGGGTTTTCACAGGTTATGATGTGGCAAAGGTATGGCAACTCTGTAGGCCTGGTGATTTGACAAGGTGAGTAAAATAAGATAGTTACATAGATTGATCATCCCTATTTTTTAAAATAAATATAAGCTTATGCCTTGAAGTAAAAATATAAGCAATTATTATTTTTTAAATATCTAAAGTCTGAAAATTGGTTTTAAAACACATTTTTGCTAAACTGATTCAAATTAATAAATATATACCAGACAATATGGCTGCTCGCAAACGACCAGCTTTGAGTAATGTATATAACATATATGTATCATTGACCCTGTTAATGACAACATGACAACAGGGTTGCCATATCTAAACTGTCAGTACCCACTGGTAGCCATTTAGACAGGTCGTTAGAATGCCTAATACGTTCTCCGACTTATTGTAATATTACAAAATATAATTATTGTCCTCAAATTTCACACAAAAACAGCCACAACTATTTCGCTTAGTTCATCTAGAGGATAACACAATCATGAACTCAAAATTTAAAATTTAAATTAAGGATTCTTCGATATACATAAAACTAACATTTATATTTACAAACTGACCACTGCTGTCGACGTCTACTGTCTGTTTCAGTGTTGCCAACTGTACGATTTAAATCGTATTTATACAATTTTTTAACTCTCTGTACGATGTACGATTTCATCAGTGAGATCGTACGTAAAAATACAATCTTTACTTTTTTAGTAGGTTTATTTAAATAACTGCAACACTTTCAGAATACAAAACAATAAAAATCAAAAACTGCTTAAAAAGATTCATAGGCCGTTCATAATTTCTGAAGGCAGTCATCTTCGTTCTGACTTACCATGGTGATTTTGTACACCGACTATCACTTTCAAGTGACAGTCATTGATTACTTTAAATGTGTTAATAAAGTTTCATGTATTTTCTTTAGTTTTTTTTTTTTTCGTTGTAATCATTTT